AACATTATCAAGCTATAAATCTGAGTATGTTGCTGCCAACTCAACAGTATACCATTTAATATGGTTAAGGAATATGCTAAAGCATTTGAGATTTCCTCAAGAAAATCCTACAAAAATTTATATCGATCAACAATTGCATTGATAAAGAACCCGGTGTATCATGAAAGAAGTAAACATATTGATACACGTCATCACTTTATCCGAGAGCATGTAAAGAACAAAGAAGTCGAGCTGATATCTTGCAAGACAGATGATCAATTAACAGATATCTTTACAAAGTCATTGAAGAGAGAAATATTTATGAGATTGAAGTTCATGCTTGGCATGACATTCTCGATTGAGTTTAAAGGGGAGATTTGTTGAAGTAAACTTAATCTAGAAGGTCAAGGAAGGCAACCCACCAGTCGCTGGTCACCAGCCACCAACTGCCTTCACACTTGAAGGCTGAATTTTCTTATTTTGATTTCGTGTATAAATAGGTAGCTAAGCTTATACAATGATGTGTAGAGAGATTGAAAGAAATATTAGAGAGAAAGAGGGTGTGTATTCAAAGCTTTTGGTTAATTCTTGTAAGCTTTTTGTTCTTGAAATAAAAGGTGTGTTTTATTCTTTTCTAAGTGTTTCAAAACCACCACCAGTTGTTTCTCCCACCAACAATAAGGACACTGTAGAATGCTGCAACAATATATGAAAAAAAAGAAAAAGAAAAGAAAAGAAAGGGACAGAGAGACCCATGCATATCTGCTAGGACTGGTGGAGGTTGTACCGACAATAAAAGGAGAAAAAGGAGTCGTGCCAGTTATAACCGAAAGAAAGGAAAGGCAGTTTTCTTTCAGTCGAAAAAAAAAACCTGCAAAAGCTGATGAACAGATACTGGTCTTGCGATGAACAGCAGAAGCCACAATGCTAATTATAAAGTTCTCACTATTTTTGACGTCATGCTACAAATCATCTTGGTACTTCAACAGGAGTTGTTGCTACAACTAAGTATGGCATGATATCAGCTGCTTTGAACTAGATTTTGAGGAAATGTAGAAAATGCATTAGCGAACTTGGTGGCCATGGATGGTGATGATGAAATGTGATCTGAATGAACATTTCCTTTACTAGTTGCCGTTATTTTACTACAAGTAGAAGCTGCAACTGCAAATTGTTGCTGCTTTTAAAGCTGAAGGATTTGTTGATTCTGCTGCTACCACTGCAACAGCTTCGTGTTAATTCACTGAGAAGATGAAAGTGAGCCCATGCAAAATATTACTATGATCATCAGGGGGCAGGCCTTGCTGAAGCAAAATCTGCGAAGACACAAATGAAAAAAAAAAAAGATTATTAGCATTGTTTGATCCTTGGAGGTTTGTGCCTGATGGTACCAATGAGAAGTTTGATGGCAATGGATCTGATGCAATTGGCATTAAGGGTCAGGGCTCTGCTCCAGTGGACATTGATGGTCATAAATCTGATGCTATTAACATTGATAAAGACTTGGTTGGTGATGAAAAGGACATTGAAATAGCTGCAATGATGGTTTAGTTTCCAATAAAGAAGACCCCTTCAGTCAACCATGGGAGCAGACTTGGCCAATCACTTCAGACCTTCAATGAGCTTTGGGAGGTTTGATGCCACCTAGCAGTGAACAGCCACACGCATAATCGGAGATACAGAGATTGCAAGAATAAGGTAGGCACTTTCCTTCTCGTTTACAATCTTAAAAAAGAGAAAGAAATTGCAGTTGTAATAAAACAAAAGAATGAATGGAGGCATGCATTCCTGGACTGCTGGTGGAGGCTGTGTTGAAGGTTAAAAGAAAAAAAAAAGATCTTGCTTGTGTTGTGCAGATAAGGTCGACCCCACTCTTCACTAATACATTCACCTGAAAATCTTCGATCCAGACAGGAATTAGGATTATTAAAACCACACCGAACGACCGCAACTTATTGAATGGAAATAATATGGTTGATTCCTTTGAGAAGTAGAAACCTGTTGGTGCTAAAGAAGAAGAGAATGACGAGCGCCTCCTAAGATTGATTGCCTGGCCTATTGGAAGCCGAACTGTCTGTAAAAATAAATAGAAGGGACATGCATGGTTTTTGTAGCCGCTTACTCTGATAAGAGGACTCTTGCTTGATTAACACAATCAAAAGCCAGCGAGCTTTTCCAAGTTGAAGAAATTTTACGCATGATTTGCTGCTTCTGGAAGATTTCTATTGTAATTAGTCTTTGCTCTCAATTGGTTAACAACACAAGGAATTATATAGGAAAGAACAATTGAACGGGAACGAAGAAAATAATTCATCAACCAATATGAGTGCACGCATATGAAGAGAAGGAAGAGAAAAGGAATCAAAATCTTTAATATTTCATATCTTATTAACCGCTTGCTGGAATAATGAATGGATTGCGCTATTGAACTCAGAATAATAATATCTTCAAAACAAGATATTACAGTGACCACTTACTGTAAGAAAAAAAAATAAAAATCATGCGGACCGATCAATGTGTTGATTGCTATTCGGGTACAGGGTTATTAAAAATATATTTTAACTAAAATTATATGATTTTATGAATCAAAATATATTAAATCAAATTAAAAACTTAAAAATCAGTAAAATTAATTAAACCCAATCAAACTGAGATAAAATCAGTCCAACTTGTTAAAACCCCTCGAACCGGACTGATTTCATAATTTTACATAAAAATTAAAACAGTTGCTAAATGCTGAGTCAGCACTCCCCTCTGCCCTTTCCCCATGAGTTCCCACTCCCCGCCTGCCACTCCATCCTTCCCCTTTCCTCCTTTTCCTTTCCCCTTTCCCCCAAATTGAAAGATTAAAGACGTAATTGCTGAATTTCAGTGACTACCATTTTCATGACATTTGGCGTTTCGATAACCTCTGCATTGATCATAGGCCTTAGGCCTCTCGAGACAAAAGAGATAGGTAGTGCCGTCAAGAAACTTATTTAATTTTTTTATTTAAATCTGAATTTGTTTTCTTAAATGTATTATAAATATTTTATGAAGATATAAAAATATCGTTGGAACTATTTTGAAAAAGAAAACTTTTATTTTATATAAATTTATCTAAAACTACCATTAATCATTAGAAAGAAAATTACTTAGAACAATTTGATTCGTCAAAATCCTTTAAAATAACCTTTAATCATAAGCATAGGCAAAAAACCCTTTCAACATTAGATGGATCCTTTGATTTTTATCTTTAATTAAATCTACGATGTATAATTGCCTTTGATATTTGATAACATTTCTTGTGAGCATTTATTTATTTATTTATTTTATTTAAGTTTACAAACTTTTATTTTTAATTTTTAATTAAGGTGGGTGTTTTGGCCATGTTACATGTATTTTAAAGTACTTGAATTATATATAAATTTTTATTTGAAGTATGAATTTTTATTTTTTAATATATTTTAAAATTTCTTATGATTTTATGATCCGAGTTTATTTTCTATTTTTCATATTCTATCAAAAACTGCATTTTTAACAATCTTGTTCAGGTATAAAGATAAATTTTGTTTGGTTCCTAAATATGCAACTGTTTGAAATGAGGCATTCAACTTGGATATTCTATCATTTGATTTGATAAAATTCATTCAAGATTGATCTATAAATTTTTAATTTTAACTATCATATTTTATTTCATAATATGATCAAATTAAATTTTAGTCAAAAATATAAAACTCTCACAACCATATTTTTTGAGATATATCTATTTGTTTTGAAAGTAAGTGAACTTGTCTCAATGGGGCATCTGTAGAAATACAAATTTTATACCAATCAAATTCCACCATGTGTTTTATTCCCTCTAAGTGTTTCAAAGCCACCATCAGTGGTTTCTCCCACCAATAATTGGTATGAGAGCCTCATTCATTAGAAAACATAAGAGTTTTGGGATATACTTGAATTTTCAAAGTTGTCAAAAACATATTTTGATCATTTCATAGTGTACGATTTATCCATACGAACTCACTAGTGTAAAAAATCAGCTGCATCGGAGTAGGAGGTAGCCCACACGCACCGTTTGAAACTTCAGACATTGTAGCCCACGTGCCCAGAGGAAGAAGATGATTGGAGTCCACGCACATCATATTTAAGCCACGTCGAGCTGCCTAAGCCATCTCCTAAGTCGACCAAAGAATATTTCCTAAAATATTCCTGGTTCAACCCCAGCAAACCGCTTGGCATCAAGAATCAGTTTCCTAACTAGTTCAACCCATTTCTGCCCTATTTTCAACCAAATAAGATTGATTCCCGACTATTTTGAGCATTCTAGATCGATCTACAATGTCTGTTTTGCCAAATTCAACTCCTTGAAGGTGATATAGTCATTCAAATAGCAAAATAACTACAAAAAATGCATAAACACTAATCCCAAAGCTCACCAAAGACAACAATGATAATTTATGTATCAGATTGGAGGCATTTTTTGATTCACAAGAGTGTATAGAGATTGTGGAATATAGTTATGATGAACTAGAGTTTAAAGAAGTAGAAAATTCATTATAAGAGGCACAACAACAAATCCTGAGAGCCAATAGAAAGAAAGATAACAAAGCAAAGACCATCATTTATCAAGGTCTTGATGAAGCTACATTTGAGATCATAGCTTCCATAGAAACATCAAAAGAAATATGAGAGGTTCTCCAATAAAAATACAAAGGTGCTGACATAATCAAGAACATTCGTCTTTAATCTTTGCAAGGTAAATTTAAATCAATGCAAATGAAGTCATCAAAATCTACTTCTAATTATCACATAAGAATTATGGTGATAGTCAATTAGATAAGAAGAAATGGATAAGTCCTCTTAGATGCTTAAATTACTAGAAAAAAATTTGAGATCTCTAGATCCAAAATTTAATTTTGTTATTGTTATTATTGAAGAATCCAAATAAGTGGACAAGTTGACAGTGGATGAGCTTATGAGTTCTTTGCTAACTCATGAGCAAAAGATTATTAAAAGAAATAGAGATAAGGTAACTAAGCATGCCTTACAATCAAAGTTATCTCTCAAGAAGGGTAAGGAGATTTCAACAAGTGGATATACCACTCAAGGAAGGAGTCAACAAAGAAAAAGAGGATTTCAGGAATTTCAAGGAAGAGGATCTTGGAATACAAGATTCAGAGGAAGAGGAGGTAGAAGCACCAGTAGAGGAGGCTGGGGACAACATGCATTTACTCCTAGAGAAAGAGGAGGCGGTTAAAATAACTGTGACAAGAGAAATATCCAGTGTTATAGGTGCAATCAATTTGGGCACTATAGCACTGAATGTCAAAAGAAAGCTTTATTAGAGATACATGAACAAGCCAACTATGTAGAGGAAGATACCATCATTAGAGTACCAACTATACTATTAGTTTAACAAGGATTAGGTAAGAATCATTAGAATATTTGGTATCTAGATTCTGGAGCTAGAAATCACATGTGTGGCCAACATAATCTATTTGGTGATCTAGATGAGACCATACAAGGTCTAGTCATATTTGGAGATACCTCAAAAGTTCTAGTAAAAGGTAAAGGCAACATCCCAATCAAGTTGAAGAATGACAATCATACCTAGATCGTAGATGTTTACTATGTTCCAGCCATAAAGCACAACATGTTGAGTATAGGTTAAGTTATGGAGAAAGGTTACACTCTTTACATAAAGAATTGTCGTTTGACAGTCAAAGACTACAATAGAAGATTAATTGTCTATATGAAGATGTCTAAGAATAGGATGTTTCTAATATGATAGCGTTTGAGTGCCACTACCAACAATGAAGAGTGGCCCTGACACCTAAGGGTTGGACATTTGAATTTCACAAGTTTGGAGATGTTAGCAAGCAAGAAGATAGTCCAAGGTATGCCCTACATTGATCATCTATCTCGCACCCTCGTGGTGTCGTGGTGACCCTAGATTGATTTTATTTTATTTTTGTTTTATGTATAAAGGAGTCACCACCTAGTATTTGGTCACTAGAAACCCTAATTGATCTTTCAAAGATTCTAAGGTAAGGGATTGGTTGCATAAAGGAAAGTTATTAACACTCCTAGTACGCTCTACCTAAGGTACGTTGCTTAGTGTTTGGCTTGTTTTATAATTGTTATAGTATTGATGTTTTCTAATCCCATCAGTTTTTCTAGGTTTGATTCAAACTAAATTTATTAAGATAGAAATTCAAGGAGGTTCCATATGCTTTAAAAGCATATTTTCCCTTTAGTATTTTGAGAGTTTTTGACTCGTAAATCGCAACGAGGAGGGACAAAAATTTAGTAATCTAAGGCGCCTTAAAAGGTTATTTTTGTCTTAATGTTTTATACTCTCACGACTCATAAACTATAGAGTATTTTTTTTTTAAATGTCCTTAATTATAATCAAGGCTTCTTTCAAGGATGTGTAATGTCCTTAATTATTTTGGATGTTAACATTTAGGATTTCTTTATCTAAATATTAACAGTGAACAAGAACAAATTATTCCTCATAATATTCTGGATATTCATCCTTTAAATATTTCTTTATCCAAACATTAGCGGTGAATAATAGATGAATTCGCCCCAAAATAAGATTTTTATATTTTTTAAAATATTGGCCAATATCCTTTGTAGTTTTACAAACATGTAAATGCAATAATTTGTTTTTGTTGTGTTTAAGAAATCTATGCGAAAACACATTTTCAAAAACTTTAATATTTTTTTATATAAAAGGAATGTTCAAAACATGTTAAGGTATTGGCCATATGTAACACACAAGAAAACATTTTTTTAAAAAAAAAACAAAATCTCAAGCATCGCAATTAAATTTGCAATAAAAGGTAACCAATCGTCACATATATTATAAAATTTACAAAAAAAAAAGCTTAAAGCAACTTAAAACAAAAATCATAACTGGAGAGAAATAGAACATGTGCATGAAGTAGCCAAGACTATGAAACCAGAATTTAGTGACAATGTTCATCCCCTATAAACCCATTCTAGTGACAATATTTATACCTATAAACGCCTTCTTTGATAAAACTGAAACCCGCTTTAACTCCCCCATGCAAACAACAAGAAAGAGAAAAAGAGAAAAGGCATGCTCTATTCATGTATATAGGAAAAATAAAACCATGGCCGGCTAATCTCTCAAGGAGTAGGGAGGAGAAAAAAGAACAGAAAAGGGAGTTAATGATGATGAAACAACAACCCCCCTCTCATGGTTTCTTATGAACCAGTGAAAGAAGGAAAAAAAAAAACCTTGCTAACTCTTAATATAATCACCCATCTAAAACTCAAAGCCATGGCAGGAACAACAAACAGCAAGCATTCATTGTAGTCTAAAATTAAAAATGAATGTGTAAAGGAAAGATAAAATAGGTTTTTAAAATGTCAACATAATAGATTTAAAGGTAGCAAAGGAGGAGAAAGTTAAGACTTACACCTACATGTCTCAACCTTTTTTCTACAGAAGATGAAATAAAAAGCTGAGCGAACATTGCTATCAAGGTTTAGCAGTAGATCTCCCTCTCCATCTAGTCCTTTTTTTCTCTCCTATTTCCTCACAATAACACTAGAATGCAAGAAAGAAACTCCTTCTATTTACTGTGTTTTTTTTACTCTGCCTCTCTTGTGCTTTTTTGTCTCTCTTTGTTGTTTTTGTTCTACTCCTTACTCTCTAGTTTTCGCTTTTTTTTCTAGGTCATTAAAGGGCTTATATAGTCTAACATATCTCTATTTAAGAAGGATTTAATTTAATGCATTAACTCGGGTCAAGATCCTTCATATGATAGAATTCTCTACCTTCATGTTAGATATTCAAACGGGAATATGTTGAAATTTTGATATTGAAATCAAGCAATTCAAAGACCAAATTTATATACACATCTAGGACTACAATTTTGATTAAGGAGTCTAAGTGAGATAAAATCATTTTAGAGAAAAGAATCTGATATTAATTTAGTTGGTTAAAAAGAATCTTCGGGTCTAATTCAAAAACTGACAAATATCAAGAATTCTAATATGACTGAGAGTATGATCTATAAGAACAAATTAATAAAATTTGTGATGAAAATAGAGTTTTTTAGTACAAAACTTGGGTCAGGATCCTTCCCGCAGTAAAATTCTGTACCTTTATAGGAATATCTTGAGCTTTTGATATCGAAATCAAGTGATTTGAAAACTCAAATTTATATATGTGTCTAGGACTGCAACTTTGATGAATAAGTCAAAGTGAGATAAAATTATTTTAGAGAACAGAATCTAACAGTAATCTAGTTGGTAAAAAAAGTTATTGATCTAACAATGCTGAGCATTCAAATCTGACTGAGAATTTTCCTTAAGAACAATGATCCCTAAGATCTAATAAAGGTGTAGATCTATTTTTTAACATGTCATAAGTGATATAATAGAGTTAGGATAGTCAAATATTGTACAAAACAAAGTCAAAATAAGAGCATAAGTTGGAACAAAAAAATTACGATAGCAGTAGAATCATTTTTTTAGTGCAAATTTTGAGAGATTTGTCCAATTTTAAAGACTAAATAAAGAAAAAAATAATTAACATTATGAAGACTCCTGATTAACCTAACAAAACCTGATGATTTTGGTAGCAAAGAGGAAGGATAAAAAGAGTAAAAAACAACTCAAATAAGGTTTTAAAAAAAAATATTTCTTTCTCTACTTTTGTCAATCTTCTGGCTAACATGAGCTAAACTCCTACACTTAGTTTAAAAGTGGTATACACCGTCTCTAGCACGTGGGTCCAAAATTAAGTAACAATAAATGCCTTATTTTTACTTTGCTTATGAAGCAAAACTTGTCAAGTGCTTCGTGTAGTCAGGTTTGTAAAGATAAATTGTCTGATCATGCTAAAAAGTCAATGCTTTTCCTAAAAAATGGTCTCCCTATCAGGTGACTTGACTATCTTATGAGTTCCATAAAAAATACACATTTTTCTAAGAAATGATCTCAATATTAGGTGATCGACTCATCTTAAAATTCTTAGAAAACTCCATGCTTTTCTAAGAAACGATTTCAATATCAGATAACCTACCCCTCTTAAAATTCTTAGAAAACTCCATGTTTTTCTAAGAAATGGTTTTAATATCAGGTGACTGGTCCCTCTTAAAATTCTTAGAAAACTCCATGCTTTTCTAAGAAACAATCTCAATAACGGATGACTTGCCCATCTTAAAATTCTTAGAAAACTCCACACTTTTCTAAGGAATAAATATCATTATTGAGTGACCGGCCATCTTAAAATTCTTAAAAAACACCACGTTTATCTAAGAAACAGTTTCAATATCAAGTGACTGAAATTTTTAGAAAACTCCACGCTTTTCTAAGAAATGGTTTCAATATCAAGTGACTAGCCCTTCCTAAAATTCTTAGAAAACTCCATGTTTTTCTAAGAAATGGTCTCAATATCAAATGACCTACCCATCCTAAAATTCTTAGAAAACTCCATGCTTTTCTTTTCTAAGAAATAGTCTTAATATCGGGTGACCTGCCCATCTCAAACTTCAAAAGAAAACATCTTACCTTAATGAAATGAAATAATGCTGGTTCACAATTCATATTCTTTTCCGTAGCTCTGTTGACTTGAGATTGTGTCTTTGAGTGATTCCCAAAAACTTGGAACTAATTTGGCTTTTGTCCCACCTTTCCTACCAGGTTAGTGTTATGACAACATAGCATGCATGTTTTTGTTACCTATCTTGGAAACATAAGTCCCCCTTTCATTATAGACTTTTTTAAGCTCTTGTTTCCATTTGTTTGTCCAACCTTTTTTCTTGAACTAGAATATGCTCCACACACTATACTTCATATCCTCTTGGTAAAGAGATCTCTAGTTCCTTGTGGGGCCCTTTCTTACTCCATTGAGTATTGTCCTTTATTATTATTTTAAATGGAAAACTTAAAAGTTTTGGTTTTGTTCATGAAAACTATAACCTTTAATGCAATTAACAATTCTCATAAAAAAAAATTCATAAGTTTTTATGATGACACCCTTTTGGGCTTTGGTTCACTATAAACCCATAAATGCACTTCTGTTTTTGGTCCTCGGTGTGGTGTGCAATAATTGTTAGTTTTAAAATTTGTTTAGTTCCCTCCAATTGATGGAGTCATTTCCTTAGTCATGCATAAGAAAAGAGTTTGTTTAAGTGAAATATTTCAAATGCTATGAGATCATACGTTTTATGAAGAAAAAGGTTTTTTATAGAGAGAATTCATTGCCAAA